TTTTTTTTTCTGCTTATATATTTTGTATTGTATAATTTCTAAGATAGAAAATAAATTGGTTTGATCATATTTTTATTTTTTTAGCATTTGACAAACGATGAAGTTCTTAATTTATTTGAAATGCCATGGTTACGACTTACTATACTACATAAAATTATAAATTTAAAATTATGATACATCATTAAATAAATATATATAATATTACAAATAAATCTCTAAATATAAAAACTAAATAATAACGCTATGTTATATGCTCTCAATATTATGTAAAATTGTAACTATATCATGAAAAAAATGATATTACTTTTGTAATTTAAAAAAAAAAAAGAAAAAAGAAAAAAGGAAATGGGAAGTAGAACAAGAAGAAGAAGAAAATCAGATCTTTATTTCTAAAAATTGAACCAAAAAAATGAAAAACGATTCTTGTTGCATTTAGTTCATGAATTCATGACATGAGCTATAGTTAGTCTAGGGCCTAAGAAATGAAGAAAAACAAACTGAGACCATACATTACATAGAAAACACAACATCAAATTTCCCTGCATGACAAATTATAACTGAAACAGGCTACGCTTATTGACAAGTAGAATGTCCAAAGTACGACAACCTCAGCACCTAATAAACTCCACACATAATTTCTCACTATATACACTTAATAGGTATAGTTCCCTTGACAAACAACAACATAGATAGAGTTTCACTTATGTCTCACAGTTACAAATCTCCCTCGATCACGACTGAACTTGATAAATATACTGCTCTCAGACACCATACAAACCTTATGACGCATTTAATTACATTCTAAACATAACAGATGAAAAGCAAATGTTCAAAATCAAACATAAATCCCGTACAAACCATCCGCTACCACATAGATGTGTGCAGGATAGAATCATAAGAACAGTGTTTGCTATCATTGTGGTCTCCAATGAGGATAGCATGGGAATATAGACTGATTTCATGCAACGACTGAAAATAAAATTAAATGAAAAGCTTTAACTAGATGGCCTGCATACATATTGTGGCAGTTTGTCCATGCCCTTCACCAGATTTTGCAAGTTCAGACCTGTGGCCCCAACCGGTATGGACCATCACCCATGTAGTGACCATCCATGTAGAAAGCTCCATTCTGTGGATGAAGACCATCCATAACCATGAACTGCATATCTTCTGAAGGTTTCCAGTGTCGCTTCCTTTGGTTTATAAACCAATTATTTATTTGTTTCTGGTCCAAACCAGTTGATTCAGCCAATGCCACTTTCTCTGATTCCTGTGGGATAAACAAAAAGGATTTCATGTTAACAAGAAAACACATGAAAAAAACTTGAAACTGCATATTTGAAATGAATATAGTATCAATACAACAGTTTCTTAAGACATGGGCAATTAATTTAGAGGAATAATCAATATACGTACTGAAGGATATGGCCATTTATAGTGCAACTCCCACCAATTAAGTAGCTTCTGCCTGGCTTCTTTAGGTAGTTTTCCCTTTTTCTTTTTCTTAGAGAGTTCTTGCTTGAGACTACTTAAGTAACCACTATACTTCCTCAGTAAATGATTCTTCAACTCTCGGTCCTCAGCTCGTGGATCAATTTCAGGTAGTTCTGTCTCTCCACCACTGTTGTCTTGATCCTCCTCAGATGAACCAACACCCTCACACTTCTCATCTGTGGAGTAGTCAAGAGAAAGGTATACATCATATCTATGAGCACATGGAGAATTCATTGAACACAAAAGTAAATGTAACTTTGAGTACGTTGCCTATGTGCAAAACTATCATAATTAATATCCAAAATTAGCAAAACAATGGAATTACTTAGCAGAAAACTTAATTCATAATCATACAAACAAGGAATTACACACTCAGCTTATTTTGTCTCTATTGACTTTGGGTAAATATAGTATAAAATTTTCCAGAGAAGAAGAAAAACTGCCCTAAAGAGCATATTTTAAAGGAATTTTTGCCAGGAAGGGATCCAATGTCATTTTCATCATCGGCAATACAAACTAGAAAATCTATACTAAGCTACTGTTCATCCCTCCAATATTAAAGGGAAAAGACCCAAAACTAAATGCCAGAAATCTCGACCAATGTATGAAAATGAAATCACAACACCAGTCTCTTTATCTACAAACAACCAAAAACATCAATGAAAAACTTTGTAACAAGAATCCACCCTTGACATTATTATTAGCTGTTAGCTTATCCAAGAAAGATTAATGAAATAATGAGGAATACCAAACCAGAACATTTTCAAAAGAAAGCTTAGTTTTACATAATATTGACATAGAAAAATTTTAGAAGATTTGAATATAAAATCCTCAACACTTGTTGGTTCTTGCACAATGACCTTAAAAAGATCTTCAAAGGTTATTTTTACATCATATTTCTGATATTTTTTTGACATGCATTTTGGTCAACTCAAACAAAAGTTACCACAAAGAAGCCAAATATACCTAGAGCCAACTCATGTAATCTACAGTCATTCAACTAGCATTTAACTTGGGAATTACCAACACATGTAGAGGCCAAACTCCAAGAGAGTAGAGAGCATGGATATTTAGTTATAAATATATAGTCTAAACTTTAACAAAGGTACTACCATCAAATTGACTCAACAAAGATTGCATAATGATTTATGAATATATACTAGAACCTTGATATGTAATTAATGCAATATAGCCTTCAAAAATGCACAAAATCTGAACAATTCCATTTACTCTTGTAATCAACTTCCAGGCCATTGCTTACATATAGCTAGGAGTTAAAAGGATTATAGATGCAATTGCAGAGGATTCAACATTGTCATTTTGATCCACATTGGCAATTACACAATATTGATGGCAAAACCAAAATTACATCAAAATATAATCAGCGGACAAAGGCAGCATAGTTTGCAAAATATGGTAAACAGGCAGCAACTACACAATTTCTATTCTTAAACAACGAAAAAAGAAAAAAAAAAAAAAAGAAGCCAAATTCTCATAATAGGAACTACTAACCAGGAAAACCATGACTCATAAACTAGGAGCAAGAAGAATCTAATTTTAGCTTGTAATAAATTAACTCTATACAGAATTAACTCTATACAGAAGCAAATTAGTGTCTCAATCAACAAAGATGAAGCCATTTCAGAGAAAAGTTTCAAAGACTCGATAACAGACACACTTAAAGACAAAAAATACCATAGAAGCAGACTTCTCTCCTCCCCTCCACTTCCCTCACATTTTGCCTCTGTTTGGACTTTTCTCAATGAACTTTTTGAAGCATTATTTTTGGCCATATATGGAGAAATTCTACTAAAAATCTACCTAAGATTCAAAATATAGCGACATTTACCGGAACAAGTCCAAACACAAAAAATAAAAATAAAAATAAAAATAAATAAAAAGGGGAAAGGCTCGACTGATACCCTACCAAAGGAACTCAGATAGAAAAACCGTAAAAATACATCTGCAAAACTAACTTGAACAGCCTCCTATGTTTTCAAATTCCTATCCTAATTTCATAAATATAAAAACAAAATATCATAAAAATAAAATACCGATATTCATGCACAAGAACAACTCGGGAAATGGAGAAGGTATGAATATGTGTAGTAGTATCTAAATTTCGGGAATGGAAAAACCCAAACCCTAAAATAAGACTGCCTTTGTCAGATTCACGAATACCAAAACCTCCTCCCACTCAAGTAGATTTCATGATAATAATAGTAATATACTAACATAAACCCATGATTAATTAGGGTTTGATAAGCTTGATCAGTTCCAAAAAAAGGCCTAAATCAATGAGAGAGAGATTGATATAGGACTCTATTGTTTCCCGAACAAGGCTGAGCAATTTAGAACTCAAAGAGTTTTTTTTAAAAATTTTTTGGGTGGATTTGGCAACTCTATTAATTAATTAGTCTACAAAATTGGCCAGAGACAAAAACTTCACTCCACATTCTTCTGGTTCATTTCCAAGCTGGGAAAATCCAATCATATGATGTTTGGAAAGAGGGGGAAAAAAGTACTATATACCACTACCATTGTTGAAGATCCGCACGGGTCCGTTGCTTATCATGTTGAGTTGAGTTTCGATCCTCCGCATGAAATCCAACGCTTCTTGAATCGGCCTCGTTAACTCCTCACGGTATTTCACCAACATATCATAGTAAGCTTCCTAAGATCATAACAGCAAAATCACACTCCAGTCATCCCCACAGTCATGGTCAAAATCATGGCAGATATCGAAGCGAATAGGACAAGAGAAAAATATGTCACCATGAATTGATCGAGTTCTGGATCTTTTGAAGTATCTCTTGAAGTCATCGTAGACCGCTGCCGTGCTTCAAACTCTTGACGAGCAGCTGTTAGCCGAGCTACAACTTCAGGTGGGGCTCCGACCTGTAAATAGAAGAGACGACCGGAGAGAGAGAGTGAAATGAGTGAATTAAATTCATTCTCTTTTGTAGAGAATTAACTTTGTCTCCATCTATATATGCACATACCTTTTGACAATCCATGTAAGCTTCCAAAAGGTCCGAGTACTGAGGATGAGCGATGATCTTGGCTTTTATAGCTTCCACTTCAGCGCCGGAGTTCTCGTTCCCATCTTGGTGAGGAATCACCGGATGACCTCTGATCACTAAAGGGTAATGAAATTTCTGGCTTGAACTTCCGGCGGCGTCAGACGTTTTCACATCAGATTGATAACACTCGCTCGATTGAAGGTGAAAGGAGCTTACGGGCATCGTATTAGAGCTGCTGTTAGTTCTCCCATATGGAGAAGATGAAGAATTTGGTGCAAGAACTGGAGATGCATACAAGAAATTTCCCCTTGGAGTGGAACTACTCTCGTTTAGATGATTATATTCCTCCATGGCAGCAGAAACTCAAAAGGGTAAAACAAAGAAACCTAAAAAAAAAAAAACCCTAAGAAAGAATTTTGTATAGGAACTGAACCCTAGAGAGAATAATATAGCTAGACAGCTACTTATCCACTGCAAAAAGAAGATGTTTTTTTTTCTCCATATTGGGAAGAAGGAGACATGGTTTTGGTCTTTCGGATAATTGGGAATATGTGAACACTGTTCTAGCTTTTCTCAGGGAGGCCTTGAATACGTGAAGTTGCACCATGACTTGGGCATGATGAAGCCCTAAAATTGAACAAAAAAATCAGGTGGGGATGGGAGAAATTGAGATAGAAACTGGGTTGTGGGTGGAGCGAGGAAGGAGAAAAGGGATAGCTTAGCTTAGCCGAAGCCGGGGCGTTGATAAGACGTTGTTTGCTTAAAGAAATAGAAATAATTGAAAACTAATAAAAGCAAAGAAGGCAAAGGGATAAGAGGCAACTTATACCATGCGATAGAATTAAATGAGCACTATTTATTTTAAGGAGGTGGTTGATTTTTTACTTGGGCATACTTATTTACACAGGGCTCGGAAACAATATTTTTTTAAAAAAAATTAACTTATACTTTAAAAATATAAATTAAAAATAATTTTTTATATTAATTATTATTAAAAATAAAAATGAATTTTTATTTAATTAAATATTTAATTAAAATAATTTACATAATATTAATAACAAAATTAATGTCAATTTTTATTATTTTTAATATAATTAAGAATAAAAATATATTAATTAATTACACACTTAATTTTTATTTTTAAAATATAAGTTAAAAATTATTAAAAAAATTATATGAAAAAACAAATTATCTCTAGTTTCAAAAATTGAATTTTTGAGCACAAAAATCAATAACAAGAGTCATTAATTATATCTATTTTATAATTAATTATAAAAGATTAGTGCTTGCTCACCTTAGTTTTAAAAAATTAAAAAAAAAATAAATATTACTTTAATACATGTTTTAAAAATAGAGTAATTTAATTTTTTTTAATAAAAATTTATTGAAACAATATAATTTTGAGATAATTTTTTTTAATCTTTAAAAAATAAGATTGATAGGTACTATTTCCTAATTATAAATCTTTAAAAACAATATAATCAATTAAAATCGAATATAGAATTGAAAGAAAATCCTCATGGATTTTTTTGTTGGGAAATGCTTTCCAACAATACAATCAATTACATTAATTTATAATTGATTATTATTTAAAGTAATTATTTTTGTCCTTTTTTTATAACTAATTACTTTTTATCTTGATTTTTGTGTTATAAAATGTATTTTTTTTTAAAAATAATTTTAAAATAATTTTTTTACACCATCTTTTTAAAGTCTAAACCAATTTAAAAAAAATGTCAACTTCCTTGGAGATTGCTTTCCAACCATGGGTAACCAAACATGTCCTTAATTTAATCTCTTTTCTGTGTAATTATGTTGGGCAATAAAATGTAAAAAAATTATCTATGTAACTTTTATTTATAATTTTTATATATTATTAAATAAATATATATGGTAAATCTTAATAAAATTAATTGATATATAAAATTATATAAAAATAAGTACTACATGAAAATTATCTCCTAATCATTAATCTTTTTGTATTTTCTCACTA